AACGCTCCTCTGTGGCTGTGGCACCATGTGGCCGCGTGGCCGCCACTCTGCGCGTGCATGCAGTGGTGACGCCCAGTCGGGGGGGGGGGCTCTCCGAGCCGCGGGGCCGGCCCCAACGGGCCCTGGTTGCCTCGGTGGCAGAACCTCAGCCAGCTCACAGGAGGGGGTCGTCGGAGACTGCGTGTCGCCTTAGATGCCGCCCCGTGTGTCCTCCTTGAAAGTTCAAGTCTGGGGCCATTCGCACCACTGGCACGGGGAGGAGGAGGAGGATAATGATGAAGAGGAGGAGGAGGAGGGCGGCGCCGCCAGGGGTTGGCTGGCAGGTGCTCTCCGCTATCTGCCTCTCTCTCTCTCTCCCTTTGGTTTTATCTCTCTCTTTCCCTTTCCCTCTCTCTCTCTCTCCCTCTCTCTCTCTCTCCCCCTCCTTCGCTCTCTCCCTCTCTCAAACATTGGGTTTGTCCATGTACGCTATTTTGGATCGAGGCAGGAGGGATGTGAGCACAAGAGCTCGTGGCGCACGTACTCTTCATGTACCCTGGTGGTCTCTGGTGGAGGTGCCCAGGCTCGCTGGCTCTATCATGATTGCGGGTGTTCGCGCACGGTGTGCTCGCGACGAGCTGTCTGATTGTTTTTTTTTCGTGCTAGTTAGCATTAGGCATGACCTGCGAGCGATCCAGGCACTGCCCGATCTTCGATGTTAAAGTTATTTGCGACACAGCAAGGTGCAGGGGACACGGACGACCAGACGGATTTTGGTCCGCGACGAGGTGCGCGAGTACGCGGAGCTGCGGCTCCGCTTCGCAGCCCCCGTCTACGCGCTGGCCTGCGAGCAGAAGGACACGTCCCCGAGAGGGGAGAGAGAGGGGAGGGGGGAGAGCAGGAGTAGGAGGAGGAGTTGGAGGAGGAGAAATGGGAGGGAAGGGGCGATGACGATAATGATTACTCGATGACGACGACGATGATGATGCTAATGATGATGATGCTGATGATGATGAGGAGGATGAGGATGAGGATGAGGATGATGATGATGAGGAGGAGGAGGAGGATCAGGATGAGGATGATGATGGTGATGATGCTGCTGATGCTGATGATGGTGATGAGGCTGGGTACGATAGGGATGATGTTGAGATGGATGGGGAGGCTGTAACAGAGGACGTGGATCTCTAGATGCGGAGCAGGGTACTGCTGCCGATAATGATGATGATGGTATCTCCGATGTTATTGACGATGAAGAAGCTGCTGTTGACGATGATTGATATTCGTACAATGACTACGATGCTGATGTACATGCTGATGATGAGGATGAGGGTGATGACGATGATGCTTACGCAGACTATGCTGATTACGATGGTGATACTGCTGCTGCTGCTGCTGATGATGCCGACGACGATGATGATGATGATGCTGATGATGCTGAACATGATGATTACGTTGATGCTGGTGGTGGTGGTGGTGGACGTGATGATAATGCTGATCATGCTGACGATGCTGATTATGAAGACGACGACGACAACGACGACGACGACAACGACGGCGACGATGATGATGATGCTCATGGTGCCGATGCTGCTGCTGCTGATGCTGATAATGATGGTGGTGATGCTGATGCTGATGCTGATGATGATGAGGATGCTGATGCTGCTTATGATGGTGATGATGCTGATGCTGACGCTGATTACGATTGTGATTGTGGCGGTGGTGATACTGATGATGATTATGGTGAGGAGGAGGAGGAGGTGGCTGATAAGAGGGATTGATGATGATGATCGTGATGATTAGGATGATGATGATGCTGATGCTGATGCTGAGGATGATGATGATGATGATGATGATGATGATGATGATGATGAAAGTGATGATGATGATGATGATGACGATGATGATGACGATGATGATGAGGATTCTGATGATGCTGATGCTGATGCTGATGCTGATGCCGATGCTGGTGATGCTGCTGCTCATGATGATGCTGCTGATGCTGATGCTGATGCTGACGAGGATGATGATGATGCTGCGGATGATGCTCGTTATGATGGTGCTGGTGAGGATGCTGCTCATGATGATGATGATGATGATGATGATGATGATGATGATGATGATGACGATTCTGATGATAATGATGATGCTGATGGTGATGCTGATGATGCTGATGATGATGATGATGGTGATGGTGATGATACCTCTGATGATGCTGCTTCTGCTGATGATGATGCTGATGATGATTCTGATGTTGATGTTGATGTTGATGATGATGCTAATTCTCATTATGATGATGCTGATTCTGATGCTGATGCTGATGATGATGGTGATGGTGATGATGATGATGCTGATGATGATGATGACCACGATGATGATTATGATGCTGATCCTTCTGCTGATGCTGATGATGACGGTGCTGATTTTTGGTGAATACGTTGATGATGATGACGATGCTGCTGCTGCTGCTGCTGCTGATGATGATGATGATGATGATGATGATGATGATGATGATGATAATGAGTATTAGCCTTATCATTATTCTTACCAGTATTAGTATCATACATATGGTTTTTAGGATGTTGATGTTGATGATGATGATGATGATGATGATGCTGATGCTGATGCTGATGCTGCTGCTGCTAATGATGAGGATACTATCGATGATGATGCTGATTATGATGATGATGATGATGCTGCTGATGATGATGCTGAGTATGATGATGATGGGGTGGTGGTGGTGATGTTAATGATGGTATGGAGGGTACCAGGATGCTGGAGCAGGAGGAGGAGAGCAGGGATGATGATCAGGAGGGGGGTTGGAAGAGGAGGAACTGGAGGAAGATGTGGAATCACTAGAGGCGCAAGAGAAGGATCAGGAGACGAAACCTGAGGAAGAGGTGGGCGAGTATGAAGAGGCTTGAGGAGGAGGAGCAGGATGAGTTGGAGGAGGAGGAGGAGGAGGAGGAGGAGGAGGAGGATCATGATGAGGAGGAGTCGGAGGATGATGAGGAGAAGGAGGAGGAGGAGGAGGAGGAGGAGGAGGCGGAGGAGCTAGCAGGGCAGCGATGTGTCACAACTCTCATGCCCGCAGCTTGCACCGGACAGAGGGGCGGGAGCTGGACAAGCCGGCGAAGGAGGGGGAGGAGGACAGTGAGAGTGTGACTCATGTCTTTGCACCTGCCCCTCGACGCCCACCAGGATGCCGTGTACATAGCTGCGGCGGGGCAGTGCGCTCGGTGCCCGTCCGACTGCGTGCTGACGAGCCTCCTGATGCGCGAGCCGCCTGTGCCTGGTCTCTTGCCGGAGGACGAGGCGCTCCGAGGGGCCGCTCTCCTCCCCCTCCTGGCCCTCCCCCCCTCCTTCCCTCCTCCTCCCCTCCCTGCTGCTCCGCCTGCTGCTGCTCCTCCTCACGAGCGACCTCCCGTCCGTCCGTCCCCTCCTTGCCCTCCCCTGCTGCTCGCCATCCTGCTCGCCTCCTCCTCGTGCCCTCGCTTTTCGCCGCGCGCCGTGGGGCGCAGGATCGACCGCTCCGTGCCCCCAGACCTCCGACGTTGTGTGATTTTTTCACGTGCCCCCAACAGGTTTCGACTCCTTCCCAGTTTTTTTTCTCCCCGATTAGTTCTTATGGTCCCAGATTCCAGAGATGGTCCCGGGAGGCAGAAAATTGCAAGATCCTTTGGCCGTGATTTTGGTCTTCTCCTGCCGCTTCTGCTCCACTTCTCCGTTGTCCACCGCGGGTCCTCGTGCTCGTGGGCTGCCAGGGGGCAATTTGCTTGGCGTAACTTCACCCTGCTCGGCGGGCTGGCCTGTTCGGCGTCGGAGATTGAGAGCCGCGCCGGCGCGCGCATTGCAGCGGCCCCCGCGACAGCGGGTGCCACCGCAGCGACCGCAGGGACGACGACGACGCTGATCCTGACGGCGACGACGACGACGACGACGCCGACGCCGATGCCGACGCCGACGATTACGCCGACGCCGACGCCGACGCCGACGACAACGTCGATGACGACGACCGACGCTACCCGTTTCGCCCTCCCTCATCTTTTGCTTACCCGTCCAAATCGATGCACATTCCGATCCAATCCGGCTGCCTGATTCAATCCTGACTGGTCTTGTGCAGAGTTTTCCGTGCCGAGCGACATTTTTGCTCGCGGGCGTCTTTACTAAGTTTTCCTGCGGATTCCAGCCTTGGGGGCCAGAAGCTTCACGGAGGCTCCTGCAGGCCCCGCGACGTCAGAGAACCGAGGCGCTGGCTCTTCGATCTCGGGGTCCTTCGCCATCCCTTCCCAGAGATCCGATGCTTTTTTTCATACAGGGTCTCCGAAAGTCCCGACCCCTTCCTCATGCCAACTTTACGTCCCGAGTCGTTTCTGGATTGCCCGGGGCCCAACCCGGGCCCCTGATGGTCGACCGCGGTGAAGAGGGCTTTTTCTTGTTGTCAGAAGCACGTTGGAGGTCTGGGAGGACTGGTGCTTTCCGGGCCACACGTCGGACCTGCGGCGGCCTTTCGGGCCGATCCGGGAAGTCCCAGGTCGCTCTCGGCGAGGCGCGGCTGCTGGAGAGCATCCCGCGGCTGGAAAGCGTCCAGGAGCCGACGAGACAAGTCCGAACGCTTTGATCCCAGGCGTGCGTCTGTTGGCTGTCCGCAGGCGCAGCCGGAGTGCATCTGCGGCCTGTCCTTCGAGGAGGTGCTGTTGCGCGCGCAGTCCCTGCCCGGCGTCATGGGCCCGGGCGCTAGCCTTCTCCGCGGCCCGCTCGCCCCCTGGGGCGGTTGTGGTGCCGCCGGGCTGCGGCAGGGGCACGTGTGCCGGAGGGACCCAGACTCGGAGGAGGACGAGGTACCCACACCGCTGCCCGTCTCCCGTTTTCGCTCGTTTGGGCCTCCTGGGAGGCCCCCGTCGCCACTGCTGGCTTCGCCTCGAAAGTCTTGGTCAGAACGCACCCCGGTAGAGGTCCTGGGAGTAGCGGTATCGGTACCTTCTGGTTTCCCCACGGGCACCACCCAGAGGTTGGCCGTGTCA